AATTGGGTCTAAATCATGGTTGTAGCCAATGTTAACTTCATAGCCTAAGTTCTAGTAAGATATTAAAAATAAAAGGAGTCTTAGTATCAATGTGTAATAGTGTGAAGAGATTTAATACTTTAAAAAATTACAGGTTAAATTATATTTAATTAAATACATCTACTAAGGGCACAATAAAAAAGGTATGCAACTTTCCCCAAATTTCCTAGCGAACAATTAAGCATGTTAAATGACTTTTAGATACATTCATTATGGTAAACAAATGAGAAGTTTATAGCATATACTTCTACAGTTGGAGCCTTGTTAAGTTTGCAAGGTTCTTTATATGTCTTCATTATCTCATCAGCAAATGACCTAAAAGAACACAGTGGATAAAAGGACAGAGACCATTTTTGAGCATTACCAGGAGAGCTTTCCAACTAAAGTTTGCTCTCTACTGTTGCATTAGCCAAAAATAACTCAATTTTTAGTGATCTGACCCGCTCTCCCAAACAAATGGTGACATGAACAGACTATAGTGTTCACACTTAGTCAATATCTTCAAGGCACTTCAAGAATATAGCATTTATAAAGCACATAATACAAGGATGAAATGCATGATGGACTATGAAAAAATAGGAAAAAAATTTAAGTGATTTTTTTTGCATTTAAAATTGTAAAACTGAAGTGAAATGTGTTTCAAGGTAAAAAAAAAGTTGCCATTTAGAAACATTAGTTGTAACTCACTTGACTGTCATGCTCCCACAGAACTACAAATATGATTATGTTCTGAATACTGGAGTAGGTAAAAATATTTCCAATGCTAAATATATTTCCAAGATAGCATCTACATAAAATGGATTTTCATGCTAGGAAACCCCTTACCACTGTATTTAAACAAAACTGTACCTGTATCCACACAAGCTAAGTGAAATGGAAAAATCAAGGCAATTATCCAGATAATTAAAAAAAAATCTAGTTAGTAAGCAGGAGAAAAAGGCATTCTGATTTTCCTCCTAGGATTATAAGGTTTAACTATGTACAGTAGATTAGTCAACTCTTTGTTTCACTTTGCCTCTGCAAACATAAGTTGTGTCCACACAGGGCATAAATTCTAGAATTGACCAAATTCTAATTGATTATTTCAGCTATATTAACCATTTGTTATTGTTCAGTCATGTCTAACTCTCTGTGACCCCATTTGGGGTTTTCTTGGCAAAGCTACTAGAGTGGTTTGCCATTTCCTTCTCCAGCTCATTTTATAGATGAGGAAACTGAGGCAAATGGGGTTGAGTGACTTGCTCAAGGTCATGCAGCTAGTAAGTGTCTGAAGTCACATTTGAACTCAGAGGGGTCATTCTGATTCCAGGGCTAATACTCTATCCACTGTACCACCAAGCTGCTTCCATATTAAGCATAGCTGAACAACAAAAGATAGCCAAAGAAATTGAACTGAATCTAGTTAATTGATTTTATAAAGGCAATCATAGCTTTTGCCTATAAACTTGCCAAGGGTACTTACACATTTTAGCTTTTTAACAATTTTTATTTGATTCTGCAGTGAATTAAATATACATGAAACTTTTCTTGGGAACCAACATTCATGAAATAGTACCTACAGAAAAGGCTGAATTATTTTAGATTTTAAATGTTCTATTATCAGAAAACCCCACAGGTGAAGGTCAGCTGTCAAGAATGCCATTTTAAAAAATAATGGCCACTTGCAGGTTTCATGGTACTTAAACTTTGTTATGCCATTATATTTATGATGGTAATAGATATGATAATGTAAACTGAGAATTAAAATTTCATTGCAGGATCAAACAGATAATGAAGATGTTTTGTGTAAAGTGGGAAAACAGTTGAGTTCAAATATAAGTTGTGGCAATAAATGCAGGGTAACACTATAAAATACTAGCAAATCCATACTTTAGATTAGTATTCTGTTCCAGTTGGCTTCAGTTCAATAATTTCCTTTAGATTGTTCTATATGAAACACAACTTTTCACTTATTTTTTCCTCCCTTCCTCCAAATTTTTTTGTTATAAAGCACACCCACACACCCACGCATACACACAACAGCAAAAACAACCTGACAAGATACTCTTTGTACTTCTTTCTTCAGCATAAAATAAAAATATATACATATAAATTCTTGTATATTACAATTAATATGGATATTTGTTGTTGCATACTGAGTTTAGTCATTTTCCATGGTAATATCATCCTTATTAGTAATTAGTACTTAAATTAATTTTTATAATATTCTAATAAAAGTATTAATCATTTGTGCTATCTATTTTAAGGGGGCATGCTACCTTCCATTATTTATATAAAGAGCTAAAATTTATATCTTTATTAAAAATAACAAAATTAAATTTAGCATACTGACACTGAGCAGATCTATGTTAATAAGCTCAGACTGTTTCTTTATAGTGCCAAAAATACAAAAGAAAATTTTGTTGACACAATTCATTGATTCAATGATTGTCAACCAATCAAATTAGTGATAAAAGTCAATTTGTTATATGCATGTACAAATGGCTATAAATTCTTTACAGCATATTCTTACATTTTATTTGAAACTGGCCCTTACATCTCAGTCCTAAAATAAAATCACTTTTAATTTCCACTTCTAAGTAAAATTTTCATATTAATATTTTTAGTGGAGTTTAACTATATCCCACCACGTGGCCAGGCAACCTTTCAGAAGAGTGTGTTAATGTTCAGACTTCACTTTTAGTAGCCACCAAAAGACACATATTCAAAAATACTTTCCAGACACATTTTACCAATTAGGATTTCACTTGGGTTAAAAATCTATTCTTTTATACTGCAAATGGTTCTAAGTTGGTTGAGTTTATTAATCCTTTATTCCTTAGTGGGAACTGCTTTAGTCACATAATTTCCTAACTCCTAGAAGGCTGAAGGACTGAGGGCTGGGGGGTGGACAAAGCGGCAGTCCTATTAGAAGTATTTCAAGAGAGAAGGCATCAGGCCTCGATGATCCACTGAAGAGTCTCTAAAGATGCACTGGCCTTGGATAACTGGAGAGCAACATGAGGATGCTGGATACTGCAGGCTAGGGAGAAGGGTGTCCATAAACAGATGAGAAAGTCAGTTTCACTTCCCTTGTAATTTTCCTTAGGGCCTCAGGAGTGACAACCCTTGTGTGCCACTAAAAATCATCTTCTGTTCTGTTTTTGGCATAAATAAAATAAGAGGGACTCTTGTACAACTTTTCCTGGGGCTTCTTTTTCATAAGATGTAATAATTTTTAGGTTTGGGACTTCTTATCATTTCTTTGTATATATCTTTTATTAGAATTATAGACAATTATAGAAGGAAGGGACTTTATATATCATCTCGTCTAGCATTTCCCAAACTAATTTGGCTAGAGACTACTTCGAAGCTTAAAATATAACAACAGAATCCATAAATGCTATTTTGGGAGTCAGGCCCAGGAATGATTCTGAAAAAATAGGGGTCGGGGCAATTTTAGAGCAGAAAAAAGTAAGCCTATTTTTATACTGAAGAGTTGCTGCACCTAATCTGCATTTTGAGATACAAAATTTAATACGTAAAAGTTTAGAGTGGAGAACACAGAACACCCACCCTCTCATATTGCATGGAACCAAGAACACTGATCTAATCTAAGCCTCTCAGCTTTCAAAAAGAAGAAAATTCAGGTCAGCAAAGTTAAGGGACTTATACAAGGCCTCACAGCTTGTTAATAGCAAAATGATCTTTCATTCCTAATGCATAAATTATAAACCAGATCAACATAAAAGCTTACAAGCACTATATTTGACTAGAGATAAAAACAGGTATTTTGGGAAAGAAAAATGTATATATTTGAAGACCATTCCAATGAAACAAAAATAAAAGTCATTATAAATAGTTTTCAGTCAAAACAGTGAAGGCTTCAACAAATTAAAAATGTAGCACTTCAAAAAATGGATTCTGAAAAATGCAATAAATGAAGAAAATGCCAGCCCATGGAATGTCACAATCCCCAACTGATAACAGAAAATTGCTTACAGATATAGTTCTCATATATATGTATATATATATATATATATATATATATATATATATATATATATATATACATATGCAAAGTATATAATAAAAATCTTGAATAAATCCCATTTAATAATATAAAAATCTATTAGATTAATATTTTCCTCAAAACTACTTTTCCCTTTTTCCTTCATAGTACAAGTATACTCAGGTCCACACTGGTAAGAGAAAGATCAGAATTCAAGCAACAGTTCAGGTAATTATCTGTTTTTCTACTCTGGCTATGGAATTCCAAATATTTTTGACCCTGGACATTTTCTCCTACTTTGTGTTGCTGTAAAGCTGGAAAGACCAACTGAAGGCTGATTGCGAGGTTATGGCTAGAAATTGCTTTATAAAACAGTAAAACACATTCTACTGAAATCCAAATTTTGAGCAAATATTTTGTAGCACTGAACTGGTTCCAAATTTGAGAAATGACATTTCAAGTCCATACATATGGGTTCATTTCTTTACCCCAAAATAATGATGTTATCTTATAGTTATCGTTTATCTAAGGCAAAGGTGATTTATTTTTTGCCTGATGCTTTATAACTTTTTTAAAAAAGCATAGGCCTAGTTAAATGTCAATTGTAGAAAAGAGAATATTGAATTTAATGATTTTTTTACTCTGTTCCTTGTTTCTTTGGTGATTATATTATATGCCAAAAGTCATAAAAACAATCAGGCATAACATAAAGATATGTTTTTAGTAGAACTGGATGAAATTTTATTATATGTTACTTGAACTTAAAAATTATTAATTACCTTATTTATTTCATAAAATCATGATTAAGATAATTTCTAAATATTAGTATAACAATGAAAATAATATCAATACTGATTAACATGATTTTTCCCTTGTGACTTTTTTTTTGCTACATAGCAAGATATAAAAAAAGTGAAAACACCCATCAAAGACTATGAGGACTCTTAAAAAAAATAAATAAAGTACTTACCGTCGCTGGGGAGGCCCGGGTTGTGTGCGTCACAGAATGGCCAGAATTTTCCATTGAATTGCCAATCAGATAGGTTCCTCCAGAGCTGCTAATGAGTTGTCCTCCTGTAACACCCATCTGAATCCCTCCAGTGCCCACCATACTATGAGATGAGACCACTGTAGTCACCTGTGCAGAACTTCCTTGGGTATCAAAGTAATTCCCTCCAGTGTTTTGGCTGTACATCTGGGTTTCTGTGTAAGGATAAGCTGTTGTTCGGCTTTGGAAAGAGAAAGAAAAATAAGGTATTTACTTTCTCATTTACTGACTATGCTCTTCACTATCTTTATTGAGAACGGCCATAGACACATTTACACATCCCTCTATCTCATTCTCTTTCTTTAGCTTGACCTCTAGATGAAGGGTGTTCCTATTTTTTTCATTCTGCATTCCTACAAACATTTATTAAATTGCCGTTGTGGTAGGCACCTAGAGAAGATACAAAGTTTAAATAAAGCACAGTCTTTGCTCTCACAGACCTCAGCATCTAGTATGACAAAAAAAATTTCATTTACAACAAAAACTTTGCTTCCTTCCCACTTAGAAATTATGTATGTTTTAAATACAAAAAAAGGTATGAAGTATCTCATGAAGTATTTTTCTGAATTATCCAAACCAAGTACCTTTGGCCTAATGTTTGAAATTTAAAGTTTAAAATTAGATGTTCAATTGAAAGGAAATGAATGAATAAACATAATGCCTGAAATTCTGAAAACACCTTTTATTTGTATACTTTACAGATGCATTGCTTTTCCCACCCAAAGGGAAAGTAAGTGATGGCTTGTACAGAAACTGTTACTATTTTGCCTGGAAGCAGTGGAGGGGAAAAGGCACTTAGCACATCTGCCTTCTGTAGGGATGAGAATGAATTGAAAACATAATACTTAAAGTATAGCGTATATCATACTTCTCATCAGTACCCCCTCCCTAGAAACTTAAAAAAAGGCATTCAGATAACATATTTTTCTTCCATTAAACCAAAGAAGGTTCACTTTACAAGGATCTTTAAAATTTATGCCTACCAATATGAAAGTGGCCCCATTTAATTGTGATCATTCAATTGTTTTAATAAGATAACGTGAAAGCACTTTAATAACCATGCTTAAATAGAATCAAAGCATGATTTATTTAACAGAAAGAACATTGGACAAGGGGTCAAAAGATCGGCTTGAAGTCCCAGGTGGGCTACTCATTCAATTGGGACTTTCAACAAGTTATTTCAATTTCTCTGGGCCTCAGTTACCTCATCTGTAAATGTGAAAAGGTTGGCCTACATATTCCTAAAACCCTTTCCAGTTCTAGAATTCTGTCATTCTAAAACCCTTCCCAGTTCTGGAATTCTATCATTCTATGCATAACAAAGGTTAGACTATTAAGGGGAATAACTATCTATGAAAGAGATTATTCTTACTCTAATAAGTTACACAGGTAAAAACTAAGTAGATAAGGAAAGTGTGTTTTAAAACTTTTTATAGGCTGTGGGACCTTAACTTATTGCTCCTTAGCATGCAGATACTCTTATCAGTTCGTGAGGAGAGGTTTGACTCCTGAATACATCATCCCCATCCCCTAGGTAAGGCAGGACAATTTCCAGGAGATCAATTTTATAGTAACTTTTATTTAGGAATGAATAATTTTGAATTTCACTCCCAAGGATGTTGCATATAGCAGGTACATAAACAGAAAAGGCTTTTAAACATTAGAATGGGTAACAGAGGGAGATGGCACAGTCTTCTACTAGGAAGTGCTTTAAAGATAGGATTCTTATTAAGCCATTAGGTATAGTTCTATCCAGAGCCAAAGGCATGGGTTAGATTAGATGGCCCCCTCCGGTCCTGTAAATATAGTCAACATGGATGCATGTTATATAGCATTAAAAAGCTCTGCCTGAACACTCAGCATTTGCCCTGGGCCACATCATGCACTTTCCTGCTTCCACACACACCTTTGTTTTAGGCCAAGCTCAAATGCAATTTCCTCTAGAACAGGAAGTCACCTTGGATATTTCTATCAAGAAGGGATCTTTCCTTGTTTTGAACTCTTACTCTATATCTTTTTCATATACTTATTCGCAGTTTCTTACATTTGGATACATTATAGATTTTTACATACTTATCTTGCCAGCTAGATATTAAATTCCTTGGTGGGGATTGGGGGAGGTAAGGGGAGCAGGAAGGAAGTATGCCATTTATCCATATTTCTGAGTGTTTTACACATAGTAGGTGCTTGAAAAAATGCTTGTTGAATGAAAGAATTTACTGATGATTGTGAAATCCTGTATCTGCTTGCCCTTGATGACTACATTCATTCCTATTACATGTTATTGCTTACACAAAATTTTCTGCAGAAATGTTCAAATTGTATGTTTTAAAAACAGTTGTTTTAGAGAATGACTCAGTTTCTGGCATATTGAGTAAAAACTTACTCACTATTTTTGAACCTGACTGTAAGGAACAGCTAAATATCTATCTAAAATCTGTACCATTTCAAAGATTTTGCTTTGCTCATTTTAAGTTTCTCCTATGATGGTTACAATGGTTTATTTGAGGGGAAAAGCCTTTCAAGAGCTAACATGATTAAACAGAAACCATTTTATTGTTCTGCCCTATATTTATAGGAAAGAACATGTATACTTAGTGTAACTTTCCTCCTATATGACTATTACGAGAGCCCATGTAAATGTTAGGATGCTCTAGGTCATGCTCATGATGTCATTGGTCCTCTTTGAGAACAAAGAATGAATTCAGCAGATGAGCTTTTTTTATCCCAACATGCTTTAGCATAGACTGTGGGTGAAAATGACCCTGATTTTGCTCAGTATAGTCACTCACTGTTATATTTTATTGACTTAATTTTAATTATATGCATTTAGAATTGAGGCCATTTCTTATGAGCTCCCTCATCTTCTTTCTTCTGTTCCTCAGAACTCAGTATTAAGGCTGTTTTCTTCCTTCTGAAAACAGAGGCATTCCTATTCTTTGCTAAGGTGAATCCTTCTAACTATACCCTTGATGCCACTCCTTTCCACACCCCCTCCAGACCCAATCATTCCTTCCTCCCTCCTCCCTCATGCATTTCCAGTCTCTCATACATCTGCTTACTAACGTATTTAGATATGTTAGGATATTCCTGTTCCTAAAACAACAACATCCTTTCCTAGACCTGTCTACCTCAAAATAACTACTAACTTCACCAAATCAAATGACCTTTTATTAGTCTTGATCTCCCTTGACTTTTTTATACTGTTGCACTACTGATTCCATCTTCTTTTTGGATTCAAACAGTCCTTCCTTGGCTTTAGACTTGAATTCTTCTCGGAATCCTCAGATTTTTCTAGTTACTCTTCTATACACTTATCTTTTCCCCAACCTATAAACTGGGTATTCCCCACAGATCTGCCCTTGTCCCTCTTTCTTCTCTCTCTACACTCTTGTCTTTAGTGATATCATTTACTCCCACAATTTCAACAATTACTACTATGTAGAAAATTTCCAAATATTTATGTCCACTCTTGGCCTGTATTCTGAACTCCATAAGTGTACCTTCAATTGAAAAGACCACCAGTATTCCATACACAATAGATTCAAAATTGGACTTATTTTTATTTCCATCCAAATTTGTGCATCATTATAATATCACTATCTGTCAAGAGAACTACTAATCACAGTTTCCATGTTCAAAGGGCTTGAAGTTATAGTCAACTCTTCCCTCTCTCCCCTCTAATTTACTTAGCTTTGTCAATTCCACTTCCATAATATCCCTTGTATCCCACTTGTTCTCTATAGTTTTGTGGACACCACACAAAGACCAACTAGTTTGCCACCTACCTGGCCTATAGCATTAACCTCTTATTAGTCTTCCCACCCCTACTTGTTCCATTTTCCAATCCATCCTTCCATATTTCTGCCAGATTAATATTGTTTGTGTATAGACCTGGTCTTAAAAATCCCCTCCACAAAAATATTCAGTGGTTCCATCTGTTACCATCTAGTAAAGTTTTGCCTGACATACAGGGCCCTCCATAATTTGATGGTACCCCACCTTTATAACTTTCTGCTTCTCTAGGCATCAAGAGATTACTAAAATGGGTTATATTGGAGTCTTTTTAATTTCATGCCACATTTCTCCTAATTTGGAATTAACTTTGTTCTTTTATCTCATATGTCAACAGTCTGATTTTACATAGACAACTAGCTGATTCAAAAATAAATCCTATGATGGTAAACAGTGATTTTCTGTCTGTTAAGATATGTTCAATTTCATTTTTAAAATGTTACCTGGTACTCCTTACAATGTCTAGTGCACCCCAATTCTACTTAAAACCAATCTACCAACTCCTTTAAATGTTTCTCCACGGACAACCTGTGACCCATCTTTCCATTTAGCTACAACTTCCTTGTTATTTGGTATTATCTACAGTGAGAATGTCAATATCGATATGATTAGGTTTCTCTACTCATTGATCACTGGATCTCATATTTAAGAGTACCAACAGCTAAGTTAATAAAGATCTCACATTTAAGAATACTAATGGCTAAGTTAATATTTATAGACAATCTAAGAATTGTGATCTACCATTGAGCTACCATCACTGAGAAGTAGTAGGATGTGAGAGGTGACGCAAAGGAATAAGGGTTATTTTGCATTTTCCTTTGCTTTATAGGTTATAATGGCTAAATAAATCATCTTATAGTGGCCAGGCTACTTGGTAATGGAAGTAATGAGCCTCTCTATATTTAGCTAGGCTGATCCTCAGAAAGCTTTTATCAACACAACCAGACAGTGGCACTCTCCTTCCCAAATAAACAGACAAAACACAACAAAAAACCAACAAAAACTCCAAACTAATACTGTCTTAGAATGCATTGAGAGACATAGTGTCCAAGATTAGGAAGTTGATAGTCTGTCTGTACTCTGCTCTTTTAAGACTACTTTAAGACCACTTCTCTAGAATGATTATGCAAGATCTCTACTATGAAGGTTCTATTTAACACACAGTTGCTCTCCTAAAGACCTGCCAAATAATAGACGGGAATGATTCTTTCAGATTAAGTGCATAACTCAGTTATTCTTGTCTTCAAGTATAGAGAGAGGAAAAAACTGATTCTTTTCAAGCAGTTCTTTGGACAATGGGACAAAATATCAAACAAGTTAGGAAATATGACTGTGATTTACTTAACTTGGTAGCTACTGCAATGACTAACAAGTACATTTTACTTT